TGGCCAGGGGGCCACGATCCCCCCCCCCCCTGCCCCGCTCACCCCTCCCTGTCTCCCCCAGGCTCGCATGGACAGCCAGAGCGAAGCCGTGGCCATCCAGGCCATCCGCAACGCCCGGGGCAACTCGCTCTGCGTGGACTGCGGGGCGCCCAGTGAGTCTCCTGGGGGGCAGCCAGGGGGCCCGTTGGTGACGTGGGGCCATGTGGGGCCATCGGTTGCATGGTGCCGTGGGCCATGTGGGGCCACGGGCCCTGGGGGGCCATTGGTCAAGCAGTGCCATGGGCCATGTGGGGCTACTGACCGCGTGGGGCCATCAGTTGCATGCTGCCATGGGCCACACAAGGCCATGGGGGGCCATTGGTCACACAGTGCCATGGATCACGTGGGGCCATCGGTTACTTGGTGCCACGGGCCATGGAGGGCCATTGGCCATGGAGTGCCATTGGTCACGTGGTGCCACAGGCCATGCGCTGCCATCAGTCACATGGTGCCATCAGTCACGTGGTACCATCGGCCATGTGGTGCCATCAGGCACACGGTGCCATCAGCCATGCGGTGCCACGCATCAAGGTGTGCCATTAGCCGGATGGTGCTATGGGGTGACTTGATGCCACAGGCCACCCAATAACCTGGGCGAGGAAGCAGCATGTGCCACATGACACCGTGGGCCATCTAATGCCATGGGCCATGTCATGCCATGGGCCACGCAATGCCCTGGACTAGGAAGCACCACGTGCCACGTGATGCCATAGACCACACGATGCCATGGGCCACACTGTGCCATGGGTTGCATGGTGCCATGGGTCACACAGCGCCACGCACCATGGGGTGCCACAAGCCAAGGGGTGCCACGCACCATGCAATGGCCACATGCTGCCGTGGGCCGTGCCGTGGGCCAGGCAGCGCCACGAGCCACCCGATGTCCCCGGCGCGGTGCTGACGGTCGCTGTGCATCCCCCCCCTCCCCAGACCCCACCTGGGCCAGCCTGAACCTGGGGGCCTTGATCTGCATCGAGTGCTCGGGGATCCACCGCAACCTGGGCACCCACCTGTCCCGCGTGCGCTCCCTCGACCTGGACGATTGGCCCCGGGAGCTCACGCTGGTGCTGACGTCCATCGGCAACGCCACCGCCAACAGCATCTGGGAGAAGAACCCGCAGGGCCGCTGTAAACCCACCCACGAGTCGTCCCGGTGGGTGTCCCCCCCCCTCCCCACCCACTGCGTCACCGCTCTGCCACCTCCCTGATGCCACGCCGTCCCTGACGCCACCCGTCTCCCCAGGGAGGAGCGGGAGTCGTGGATCCGGGCCAAGTACGAGCAGCGGCTCTTCCTGGCGCCGCGGCCGGCGGCCGAGGCGCCGCTGGGGGAGCAGCTCTTCCACGCGGTGCAGGAGAAGGACCTGGAGATGGTGCTGCTGCTCCTGGCCCACAGCAAGAAGGAGCAGCTCAACGTCAGCACTGGTGACAAGGACCGGCGCACAGCGCTGCACGTGGCCTGCGACATGGCCCTCGTGGTCATCACCCAGCTGCTGGTGTGGGTACGTTTGGGCAGGGGGGCAAAGGGGGGACGGGGTGGAGGTGGCCGTGGCATGGCGTGGGGGGCATGGGGTGGCCGTGGGGCACATGAAATGGTCATGGGAAGCATGGCGTGGCTGAGGGGGGGAGAGACCGTGGTCATGGGGACTATGACATGGTTATGGGGGGGTGTGGAGTGTCCTG